CCGGCCCGGCGGGCGGCGTGCCCGTCCTGTTCCGCACGCGGCCATCGGCGCGGTTCGGGGCGCCCAAGCCGCGGCCGCTGTACGCAAAGCTGGAGCTGCTGCTAGATCTCATCTACAGGCGGCTGTACTGGGACCCGTCGCAGGCGGAGAGCGCGTTCAGCGTGGATGCGCTGCTCAGGGCGGTCCGCAGGGTGGACAAGGAGATGGGGCCGTGAGGTGCGGCGGCGGCGCCGGGCGCCTCGGAACGCGGCGGTATTGAGGCGGCGGCGGCGACGGCGGCGGCGCGTGTGGGGTGGCGAGGGCCTGTCAGTGGGGCGGTGTCCACTCGGGGGTGCACTTGAGGATCACTGCTAGCTCTCTTTGCTTGGAATAGCCGGCTTCTCTGTTCTGATGTCAGAAAGGTTCGCTGGACGGCACTAAGGCGGCGGCATAGAGGCTTGATGGTTCCATATAACGCCACAGTCTCAGCGGCGCGCCCATGCCCACACGCGGGTGCATCTGCAGGCCGCCTTTGCGCGTTCAGCAATGCCTGATCTAAAGGATTGCTGCCAAAGATGTCGTCCCTTTGAATGATGCAATTCTTGGGTCATACATTGACATTTACAAAAACTGTGTGTCAAGGCAAGCAGGTGCAGCCAGAAGGCGTTGGCGCCAGACAGGAGGGGTGCCGCACGGGCGTGGGTGCGCACACGGCGCGGGTCCATCCATGCAGCACCCGCCACTCTGCAGCCAGCGCGCGCGGCAGCCGGCCGGCTTCCACCTCAAAGTGCTGCCTCACTGGAACGTCCTTTCCCTGCAACCCTCCAGCTGCACGCTGGTTGTGATGACGGTGCTGCTGGGCAGGTAGTCCGTCTGGATTCCCTTGTACCCCATGGTCGCCGCCGGCGCTGCGAGCAGCGCGGGCGAGGGGCTCGGCCAGCGCGGCGGCACGCCGCCGAGCGCCTCGGCGCCGCTGCTGAACGCAGTGTTGGCCTTTGGCACGCCTGCGCCAGGGGGACCGAGCGGCCGGTGCCAGCAAGCTTGGGCACGCCTTGGGGCCGGAATTTCCCATACCCACCAGGTCGTATCTGCAAGTAGCTCTGCGACCACGCACGTGTGAAATTGGCATGCACCGATCGCTCGCCCTGTGTTGACCAGCCGCTCACCAGGCAAGAGGTGGCCGCGTTTGTCCACGATGAACTGGGTGCGCGACCCCGGGGGCTTGGCCCGCAGCGTGCCGTACCGGCCGGGCGCCGTGGTGGCGTGCTGCTTGCCGTTGTCAGGCGCCATCCAGTTGTTCAGGCGGTGCGGCAGGTACGTCTGCTGGTACTGCCCGGCTGTGGTGGGGACACCAAGGTGGTGAGTTTTGATGGACGTTTGCGTCTGGGGACATTGGCAGCCTGGCATGTGAGCAGGACTGCTCGTCCCGCTGCGGACTCGGCTGCTGCGTGTGTCAACGGCAGCACGAGCACGCGCACGGCATGAGTAGATGCAGCTGCAGGCTAGCGCAGCGCCACGATAGCCCACTGTTACCTGAGTAGATTCGTGACATGGCTGCTAATCGCGGGACTCCGTCTGCTTGTATCGATCCGTGTCGACGGTGTGGCTTGGCAAAGAAAACAGCTCTCCGCCTATTGAATTATGGGTTAAAAGCCTGGATGCACAGTGTATTTGAGATTGTAATATTGAATGTAATTTGACGAGCGCGGGGTTTTCAATTGTTTTTGTGAATTGTAATGCTGTGCACTACTGAATGTGGTGTTGCATATGGGCACGCTACACAAGACTATCGACGATCAAACCCCAGCTGATTGTCTAGATTACCTCATTGCGCCCCGTCTAACACGTCAGATCACGCCCCGATTGTGTTGGTCTGGTCAGGGCCTCGCAGCAGCGCGGTGATAGCGCATTCGTCAGCATGCGACGGACGCACAAGTACGTGCAGCAGCTGCTGCAGGTGCGTCAAAGGATGCCGGCGGGTGCGTGACGCTGCAGCGACACCGGGACCCCAGCGCAAACACCACACAAACACTACACATTCCCTTGCACAGGCAGCTTCCAGGACCACATCCTGTGGTGCAACCGCACAAGTGGCTGCAAGCAGCAGTAACAGCAGCCCTGCATGTGTTTGGCTGGCGGCGGGGCGTGCTGGCAAGTGGGCGCCGTCCGGCGTGGGGACCAGTGGCAGCGGCCTCAGGCTGTGGAGCAGCGCAAAGGCCCCGATCGGCAAGGGTGCTGCCGCGGCCGCGAAAGTTGCAGGTAGCAACGCCGCCGCCGCGGCGCCGAGCGCCCGCGTCGGCGCCGCGCCGCGGATGAGCCCCGCCGCCGTGCTGCGCAGCCCATTTGAGCGCTGGTGGGCGTCGTTCCAAACCATCCCCCTGGTGCCGCGGATGCTGGCCCTGGCCGGCGCCATCCCCTTCATAGCGCTGGCGCCGCCGGTGTCGAAGCATCTGACCTGGGTCCTGCCTTATGACATAATCGAGAACAGCGCGATGTTCCAGGTGAGGATGGTGGGGTGGTGGTTCCGTGTGAGCGGCGGACGCCGACTCGCTGACCGCCCATCTGGGCGCGCCCGACCCGCCACTACGTTGCGGCAACCTATTGCACACAGGACCCACCCCCC